GGCCCGTGGGGGCGACCTGCAGCCACCCGGCGAGCGCCCCCCGCCGCCCCTGCGGGGGCGCCGCCTCTGGCCGGCCTCTGCCTGCAAGCCTGCAAACCCCTCCCCTCCCCTCGCCACACATGCATCTGTGTCCCACGCCTGCGTTTTACCACCACCACCACTGCAGTCTGGCAGCCTCACTGCAGGCCCATGCATGTGTCTGCCCTGTGTCCCTCCCAGTCTGCCCCACACCACACCACACACACACACACCTCCCGCCCCTGCGTGCCCCCTCCACTCCCCCCCTGCCTCCCCCATGCAGTCTGGCGGCTTCACCACCGACATCCTCACCTCACTCGACCCAGAGGCTCTGCTGGGCGGCTTCGGGGCGGGAGGTGCGCACACACGGGCGCCCGCGCCCGCCTTGCACATGCCCACCCGCCTGCCCGCCTGCCAAGCCTGCCCAGCCTGCCCAGCCTGCCGCCTCGGCCATGCCAGCCCGCCTGCACACCTGCAGCCTGGGGCCCCACCCCCACACCTTGCCTTCCTTCCCAGCCCGCCGCGCCTGCCCGTCTGCCCTCCCTGCCCTCACCACCACCACCAACACCACCACCACCGCCATGAATGCACGTGCACACACATGCAGGCGGCGGCATGAGCGCCGACGACATCAAGGCGGCCATGCAGGCGGCCGAGGACGAGGGAGACGTGGCGGCGGCGGCGGCGGTGGAGCGCGAGGCGGCGGCGGAGATGGACGAGTTCATGAAGGTGCGGTATGGGCGGGCAGTACGGGTGGTACACGGGGCGGTACATGAGCTGCACGAGGGGCGGCGCACCTTGTCTCAGCAACATTTTTTTTTAATAGAAAGAAGCGGCATCAATAAATACAACAATAGCAGGGCGTGCGGAGGCTGCAAGCTGCCTGGTTGAAAACGTGCTGCTCCTCCCCCTTCTCCTTCACCACCCTCCCCCGATGCCCCTCCCTCCTCCTCCCCCCTCACCAACCATTCCGTACAACGCCTGCCCCTCCCTCCCGCTCCTCCACTCCCTCCCTGCAGGAGCCCGCACCGCTGGCCTCGGAGGCCGGCGACGGCGGCGACGACACCACCACCCGAGACAGCGGCGCTGGGGGGCCGGCCGGTGCCGCCGCCGGCGCGGCCGCCACCTCAGCCGAGCCGCGGGCCTCGGGGGCTGCGGGCGGGGGCGGGGCGGGGGCGGAGGGGGAGGAGGATGAGGTGATGCGC